TTATTTAAACAATTTTCTTTTTATATTATTTTCTGAAACTGAAGTTTCAGAAGTGTCACAATGACATAAACATAAATTGGCAACCAAAGTTGGCTCACCCAACACCTTACCCTCCTCATGAGAGAGCCATTCGTCTTTATCAAAATATTGTTCAGCTCTTTGTAAATCTTTACGATTTACAATACGAGTCTTACCTTCTAAGTCAGCGACCTCATAGCCACCTTTACCACATACCCTTACAACATTGCAAGGACCATCCCAAGTTTCCATTAACTTGCGTTGATGCACCTTCGGAATCTTTACCAAGACTAAATCATTTACTCCAAACTCATCGTTGGAAGCCTTAATCTGGTCTTCACGATTCAACTCTTTGTTTCTAGCATCAGAAACAACTGCATCCATTTCATTCTTATGCTCATCTCTCCTCATTTTATAATCAATGAAACCTTCAGATTTAATCTTAACCAGATTACTCATCGTATCTGAATTAATCAATACAGGTGTTCTATTGAATAAAATTTCAAACGGAGAAAACTTAAGCCTCTTCATAGGGCTTATATTATAGGCATATGTAGCCAAAGGTACATATTGTTCCCAATTCATAAGGTTATTCCTAATCATCTTGGTAATCCTTATACAAATTAAACCATTAGATCTTTCTACCAACCCATTACATTTAGGATTGTAACCAGCAGTAACAGATCTGCGTATACTAAGTATACAACATACTTCTGATACCACTTCATTAAGAAATTCAAGTCCTCTATCAGACTGAATAACTCTAGGTGGACCATGTTTAGTTATTACATCATCAATTAAAAAGTTCGCTACAGTCTTAGCAGATTTATTTTTGACAGGTCTAGTTATAGTATATCTTGAGTAATAATCAGTACAAACTAAAATATATTTAAAGCCATTAGAAGATCCAACAATAGGTCCAACTGTATCAATTCCAACTCTATAGAAAGGATACATCAAATTTTCAGTTCTAAATATAATAGCTTTGAGTACATACTTCTTATTCCTAATACAGATATCACACTTCCTTATAAATTCTTTTACATCCATCCACATAACAACTTGGCCAAGAAATTTTTGTTTTCAAAAGAATATATGTAGGTTCAACACCTGAATGGCCAGTCTCTTCATGAACTTGTGCAATTAAATCCTTTTTTTCTTTTTCATTAAGGTTATTATCCTCCCCCACTACAAGAAAAAAACTTCTAATCTAGTAAGAGCATCAGCTGCAACATTCTTATTTCCTTGCAAATATTCTATTTTAAACTTAAATTCTAGCTATCATCCCTTTTGGATTTTTAATTGACATTAACCATACTAAAGCTTTATGATCACTCTTAATTATAAATTCATCAGATAAATAATGCTCAAAATACGAGACACCAAAAACTATTGCCTTACACTCACGTTCCATAGCCGAATAATGGAGAAAGGCACCTGTTATTCTTTTAGAAGCACATACAATAATACCTGATTTTTGACGTAAAACAGCACTAACTGTATCAATATAAGCATCTACTTCAAGAGTAAATTGATCATCAAAATTAGCCAAACTAAGTATAATACTATTTTGTACAGCTGATTTTAATTCTTCAAATGCCTTTAACTCGGCATCACCAAACTTAAATGAATCAGTTTTCAAAAGGTTGTACAGAGGCACAGCTTTTCTTGAATAATCCTTTATAAATCTTCTAGCATAAGAAGTAAAACCAAGAAAACAACGTAATTGTCTAATATTAGTAGGAGGCTTAAAATTAATAGCTTTAAACTTAAATTCATCAGATATACGAACACTATTACTCGAAATGCAATATCCTAAATATAGTAATTCACTTATGAAAAATTTACTTTTTTATAAGTTTATTGTTAGACCATATTCTTTAATAATTTCAAGGACTAAATTAAGATGTTTAAAATGCGATTCTTCATCTTTAGAATATACCAAAATGTCATCTAAATAGACTACAACAAATACGTTAATATATTCCTTAAAAAGCTTAGTCATAACACGTTGAAATATGTATGGTGCGTTTACTAAACCCATAGGAAGAACCTTATACCTATATTGACCTGAAGAACAAGAAAAAGCAGTTTTGTCTCTGTCAGTTTCATCTAATATAAACTGATGATAACCAGATATGAGATCTAAGCTAGTAAAAACTGCTGCACCAGAAAGAGCATCTAAAGTTAAATCAATTCGTGGAATTGCAAATTTTTTTGAAATGGTTATACTATTGAGATCTCTGTAATCAATAACCATGCGTTTTTCATCAGTATCTTTCTTCGATACCAGAAACGGGTTTGTTGACCAAGGCGAAAAACATTCTTCAATAATTCCTAAATCTAATAAGTTTTTGACAGCTTGAGATATACTTTGTTCTTCTTTAGGATTTCTTTTAAAAACATTTTTAAATAAAGGTTTTGAGTTCTCATGAACTGCAATGACCGGATCAAGTTTTATCTTACTCGGTTTATAGCTGGAATCAAAGACATCTTGAAACCTTGCCTTTAATAAACCGAGATAATTATTATCGAATTTATTCAACTTACCTTCATCGGTCATGTTAGATAATAAATTTTTAGTCTCAACTGCTTCAGCATGAAGACTTAAAAATTTGCTTTCATTAGAGGGATTAATATCACCCTCGGATAATTTAAAATTATCCAACCAAATTCCATCATTAGAAACTTGTAATTTATAATTTTTCAGTAAATTCATACATAAAATTAATTCATAAGGGGATTGATCCACAATTAGTGCATCGCAACAAGTGGTAGAATTTCCTATTGTCAGTGCGATTTCAATTAAACCAATACTTCTTAATTTTCCCACCATGGTACTAATTAATTCTTTCACTTCTTTTGCTTTATTCATTTTATTTGCCACTAAATTTCTAGACACAATTACATGAGTAGCACCAGTGTCAATTAAAGCAATACAAGTTCTATCAAATACCTTTACTTTAACTTTAGGTACCAAAGACTTAAGATTTCCTTGCACACAACAGAATGATTCTTTTCTGTTTTTTTCAACTTTATTAACCTTATAATTATCAGGTTTTACCCTACAATCCTTTATACCATGGCCAATAAAAACACATTTTGCACAAATAATTTTTTTCTTCTTAACCTCATCTTGTTTTCTTTCTTTATTGTCATCAATCCTGATTTTCATCATTGAATTATTTCTTCTCCACTTTTCTTTATCATTGTCTTTAGCAAGTTCCATAATTGCAAGCCAGTTATTACAAGCAGTTAATTTCTCCTTATTAAAATTATAGAAATATTTTGAAATTTTCTCAATTACAACATCCAATGCAAGCTTATTTGATCTTGTTTCAATCTTTAATTTCCTAACAAAGTTAAGTAAAGAATCATTTCCAGGTCCTTTAAAAATTGACTTCCAAAAGTTTTCTTGACTTTCCTTACTCTGTAATATTACATATTCTTCATTAAAATACAATTTAAACGATTCAAGATTATTAATTTCCTCACCCTCCAGTGATCTATACCACAACTCAGCATCTTTTATTAAATTAATCCTTATCAACTCAAGTAATTTTCCTGGAGGTATTTGATCCTCTAATATACTAAATTGAGAATACCATTCATATGCATTCTCCCCTGTGCTACCAGAAAATTTTCTAAAGCCAGTACTGGCAATCGAAAATTTTTGCAAAAGTTTTTGGAAAATATCCATGTCTTTGCCTTTGTCCTCATCGACGTCGCCAGATGTTGGCTTATCCAACGGGTCACTTGTTTCCTTTTTAGTAAACTCTTTCTTTTTCATATAATAAATTTATTTAAACAATTTTCTTTTTATATTATTTTCTGAAACTGAAGTTTCAGAAGTGTCACAATGACATAAACATAAATTGGCAACCAAAGTTGGCTCACCCAACACCTTACCCTCCTCATGAGAGAGCCATTCGTCTTTATCAAAATATTGTTCAGCTCTTTGTAAATCTTTACGATTTACAATACGAGTCTTACCTTCTAAGTCAGCGACCTCATAGCCACCTTTACCACATACCCTTACAACATTGCAAGGACCATCCCAAGTTTCCATTAACTTGCGTTGATGCACCTTCGGAATCTTTACCAAGACTAAATCATTTACTCCAAACTCATCGTTGGAAGCCTTAATCTGGTCTTCACGATTCAACTCTTTGTTTCTAGCATCAGAAACAACTGCATCCATTTCATTCTTATGCTCATCTCTCCTCATTTTATAATCAATGAAACCTTCAGATTTAATCTTAACCAGATTACTCATCGTATCTGAATTAATCAATACAGGTGTTCTATTGAATAAAATTTCAAACGGAGAAAACTTAAGCCTCTTCATAGGGCTTATATTATAGGCATATGTAGCCAAAGGTACATATTGTTCCCAATTCATAAGGTTATTCCTAATCATCTTGGTAATCCTTATACAAATTAAACCATTAGATCTTTCTACCAACCCATTACATTTAGGATTGTAACCAGCAGTAACAGATCTGCGTATACTAAGTATACAACATACTTCTGATACCACTTCATTAAGAAATTCAAGTCCTCTATCAGACTGAATAACTCTAGGTGGACCATGTTTAGTTATTACATCATCAATTAAAAAGTTCGCTACAGTCTTAGCAGATTTATTTTTGACAGGTCTAGTTATAGTATATCTTGAGTAATAATCAGTACAAACTAAAATATATTTAAAGCCATTAGAAGATCCAACAATAGGTCCAACTGTATCAATTCCAACTCTATAGAAAGGATACATCAAATTTTCAGTTCTAAATATAATAGCTTTGAGTACATACTTCTTATTCCTAATACAGATATCACACTTCCTTATAAATTCTTTTACATCCACATAACAACTTGGCCAAGAAATTTTTGTTTTCAAAAGAATATATGTAGGTTCAACACCTGAATGGCCAGTCT